CCAAAACTTCAAGTGTACAACTGAAGGCAAGGGCAACAAAATAGTGTGCATGCTTTAAAGCTTTCTTTAAAGACTTACATTTCTAAACTTGAAGATCTGAAGCACTAGCCTTGTCACAAACCCCAAGAGAGTGTTACAAATAGTAAAATGGACTTTCCTATCAAAGTTCCAAGATTATCTGGAGATGCAATGAAAAAGGGGAGCCCAGGGGCTAAAAATGTGGGCTTGGCCACTTATTCCTCTGGTGACCTTGAACTCAGTCTCTCTCTAGGCCTGTTTCCTCATCTATAAAACAAAGACTGGACCAGAGGATCTCTCTCTATGACCCTGTGATTCTAGTAAAGGGGAACCAAAAAGGACGATCTCTCATTTAGAACAACTCTGCACCTTTGGCATAAGACCAACTGTATTGTATGTGTGTATGTGTGTATGTATGTATGTAGTATGTATGTATGTGCACACATGTATGTATATACACATATATACATTCTACATATAGTTATACATATATACAAACCCACATATACTTATACATATCCCTATCTAGATGTGTATATATGTATACACACAGACACCCCTATACAAAGGTACACAATATACATACATATACATAAATAATATATGTACATATATGCATACATTTATATACATACATACATAACATATATACATATTACATTTTGACTCAAATAGGTAAACTGTAAAACTAGAAATAAAAACTATTTGATCTATATAAAATTATAAGCTAATTAGGAAAACTGTTCATACTCAAAGCATGTACTATTTAGATTTTAATAGGGCACATATATTTTTAATGTCCTGTTTTCTAGATTTTATAGTAAACTCAGAAGTTGTTAATCATTCTTGGACTCGGAACAGAGATTAAAATTAAATATTTGCCTCATTCAGGCACCTACTTCTGAAAAAAATCATTCTTCATTTATCAAATCTAACCACTTAAGCCAAGAACTGCAACCCTAATATCAGTAACATTTCTCAGCCATAAAACTGACCTATTAACTATAATTCCCTCTGGGCAAAACAACAGCAAAACGGGAACCACTGTTTCTGTTAAAGGTTCCTATCAGTGCAGAAATAACATTCTACAGAAAATTACAATATAATCACAATTACTTTGTAATCTGATAATTACCCTAACATTTCCTTCAAGATTTCTTTGTCCTCCATCACAATTCATCTCTTTTAAACTCACCAGGACTGTGATCCAAAAGCCACTGGATTAGACATTAGCAGCTCTGGTTCTACATCAACCAAACTGTGCGAGCTTCGTGAAATTACCCCCTATAAACTTCAATTCTCTCATCTGTAAAATCCTCTATGGGATGACTATAGGAAGTTCATGATATTTGATGTTCAGCATAACTTTTTTTAAAAATTGGAATGGTGTGGAAATTCCCTCTTCTAATTATCATCAGCATTTCATTTATAAGTATGGTTTGAAAGAGTTATTTAGGAATTTAAAGGACTCCTGGTCATACAGCCAGCAATGTCAAAGGCAGAACTTGAGTCCAAGTTTTCTTAACTCTAAGCCTCATCCCTCTATCTACCATGCCACACAGACATCTACATACCACTCATGTGAAAGAGAATATAACAATTAAGATAAGTTCAATGTTCATTCCAAGACAGTAAACGTGGATTTCTCTACTCAATGTAAATAAAGCTCATGACATTTCCTCCAGGGAAACACTATAGTACAAGAATGGTTGTGGTAAATTCCTGCCATCCTCCCTGGAATGTCATATATTCAAAATTTATCCAAGATACCAAATAACCTCACAACTATGCTCAGTAAAAAACTATCAAACACCAGAATAGTGAACTGTCAGGCTAGCAAAATTTTGCATTAGTTATTTAAAAACAATAATAAATCTTACAATCTTGCAAATGAAACTTTTAAAATTGTGCAAAATACCCTCAACAAGCTGACAAATAACCTTCTAACTCACAACAGAGTCAAAATACAAGGAGCTAGGTATATTCTTTTAAAACTTTCCCAGCCTTGCTTCCTCCAACAACTCTATGCAAAAGAAAAAATAAAACATCAGTTTCTGTACAGTTCAAAGTTAGAAGAAACAAGCAATCTACTTCTTTTAATAAAATGGATTTTCCCAAAGGCCATATTAAATAAACTATATGTAATAGTACATTTGAAAATTTCTTATATTTGACTCCTGTGTCCATATGACTTACATACGATTCATACAAAACCTAGTATTAGTTCATTTTTCAGCTAAATTACAATACTGCTATTTTTCAAGTAGTCATTTTTAAGCTGTCTTCCTTCTGCTCCTTTTTTACCCTCTGAGTTCTCATTGATTCATGAGAGTTGCTTAATAAATGCCTGCTAATTTACTGACCCTAAGAAATTTGTGGCAAAATATGAGCATATTCAAGGGCAAGATAAGTCAGAGATACTGAGTATCTCTTTCCCCCAAACCTCATCTGGAGAACAGCTTTGAGGCAGATTTTTGTGGGCTAAAAAATGAAAACATTAATGTGGGACTAAAAATTCTATATCCATTATCCATTTAGAGTCCTCTATTCAACTCTTATCTTTTGACTCATATTTTGCAATATGCCATTTGGAAAACACATTCATAACATAATAATCAATAGGACACAGCAGCCAGCTTCCAGTGATTCTATCTCTCTAGCCTCCATCTGTACTATCAAACCCTTAAAAAACATGGGAGTGAGGGAAGAGAAAGAGCAAGCAAGAAAGAGACAGAGACAGAAATGGTAATATGTATACATGTGTGTATTTACGTGTATATGTATATGTGTATGTACACATACATGTATGTGTGTGCGTGTGTGTATTTCCCATCTAGAATGGTTAGGCAGCAGAAAGTCCTCCAGCCATCCCTGTGTCCTTTATTCCTCCTTCCTTTATCTCCCTCTCCCAGTACCCCCCAGTCTGGGGTACCCAGAACTCATCCAGAATACATCACACAACTTGGATGAGATTTTTGTTGTTCAGTTCTTTTCAGTTCTGTCTGACTCTTCATGACCTCATTTGGGGTTTACTTGGCAGAAATACTGGAATGGTTTGCCATTTCCTTCTCCAGGTAATTTTACAGATAAGGAAACTGAGGCAAATAGGGTTAAGCGACTTGCCCAGGTTCGTGCAGCCAACATGTGACTGAGGATGGATATGAACTCAAGAAGATGACTCTTACTGACTCCAGGCCCAGCACTCCATCTACTGGGCCATGACAGTCCCTAATTCTACTCCTTTTAGAGAAATGGAGGACCACTCTTTCATACGCCCTACTTCTATAACCTCCAGACCTCCACCTCTGTCATCTGACCTATTAATGTAACCTAAAGACCCCCAGCATTCGCCAACATCCCTGCCACAACTCTTTTGACTTCAGCTGAACTTTTCTTTTATGTGTTGGTCTCCCTCAATTAGAAAATGAGCTCCTTGAGAACAGGGACTATCTTGATTTTTCTATTAGTATAGTGCTTGGCATAGAGTAAATGCTTGATAAATGTTTTTTCATTCATTTATTAAATAAAACTATTTCTGTCTTTAAACAGGAGTTTTGGTCCTGCAATTACAACACACAAATATGATCAGAATTCACAGATTACTTAAGTCACTCAAGTGGGATATAATTTACTGTCTAAGAAAACACAGTACATACATAAAACATAAATACATAAAAACTGTTGAAGTGAATTCAATTAAATGATAAAGTCTTTGACCTTAACAACCTATGAAATAGCATCCTCATAATAACAAGAGTTGTTAGGTTAAGAATTTCAGCCTTTTAGTCAAAGGAAATTGAGATAAAAATAAACCTTACAAATAAAAGCTAATATATATAGTGCTTTAAGTTTTGCAAAATACTTTACATATGTAATCTCATTTGATCCTCACCATAACTCTGTGGTGTTAATCCTCATTTTACAGATGAGTAAACTGAGGCTAAGAGGTTTTGTGACTGATCGGTGTCACAGTCAAAGAGTCAGAGGCAGCATTTGTACTTAGGTCTTCCTGACTCTAAGTCAAGCACTACATATCCACCAACTCACATGGCTGCCTGGATATAGAACTAAGAGTGAAACCAAGTTAGGAAAAGATGAAGGTGGATAGAAGTCAAATTAAGGGAGAATTGCTAAGTATCCCATTTCAAAGAAAGGCTTCCTAACCCAGTCTATGGCCTATACAAATCACTCCTTATTTGGTTACAACAAATTCTATACCAGTGAATGAAATCCTATGAGAGATCAGAGCCAGCAGGAACTTATCTGTCATTGAGACCGCCAGAAGGGAGGTGACTTGCCGTGGGTCACCCTGCTGGTTAGTCAGGGGCTGAGGCCAGATCTGAGCCCAGACTTCCTTGACTCAACCTTCCAAGCTCCATTGTCTGGACCCTATTTACAAAACTCATTGTGGATGAAGATCTTTTTTGTTTTTGTTATACCAAGAAGTATTTACTACTCCCATATCTGGGAATATGCCACATTCAGCATCTTTTATCCCCTATTATCAAAAATCCCAGTTAACTGAGAAAATATACCTAAACTCCTAAGACAGTTTACCAACCTCTCCACCAGTTAAGTGAGGAAAAAAAGTAGACTTTTCTCCTTATCTTAATTAGTTCCCAATCTAATTTCACTTGCTTGTTCACTACAGGAAAAATGGGCATCCACTCTGTGTACAATGATTAAGTTCTGGGAATTTCCATCACTGCATTTTAACAAAATTTTCCTACAACAAAATACTTTGGTGTCCTATAGAAACCCCTATGAACAGGATTTTACCCTTCAGGAAACTTAAAGGAACAAGAAAAATATTTTATTAATTATTCCACCACTTCCAATTCCAAATAAGAAAATTAAAGGTGCAATATAATCTTCAATATCAAGAAAACAATCCAAGTAAGTAAACACCGTTATAATTTACAATTTAAGAAATTAAAATAATGATGAGGCTATTTTGAAGTTCATTATATATTGGTGCTTACCTTGGTGTTGGCCATGTCTACAATATACTGGTCTCCTTTCACACATTCCATCACTAGGAAGCCATCTCTGTCAAGCACTTTGGCCTGAGAGTTTCCAGATACCACAAGAATCACATCTCCTGTGCTGCTGTACTGTAGTGACTTAATTTGGTGACTGTGAAGAAAAGAAAACACTCAGATGGAGCAAGGTATTTCAGGGTATCTAAGGCTTCTTCAGTGATTGGGAATGGGGGAATATTCGCCAAAAAAAAAAGCACCAGGCATGAGCTTCCTGAAGCCTTTAAGAGAGGGGAAAAAAAAAAGGATAAAGCAACACAGAGAAAGTCACTGTGAGAAAGTTTTCGTGATTAAAATGTATGGATAGAAATATCCTCAATAAAGACAAGAAAAAGGTGAACATGTGATTTTTGGTGATACTAGGGATGCCTTTAGGGGGGTATGTTTATATTTAAGCAAGTAAATTTTTTTCTTACATTAAGAAAAGCTTTATTATTTTTTTTCTTTATACGTCAACTACTTTTTTTGGACTGAATTTGCAGATTCTGTTCATGATAGTGATTTCGAATGAGGAAACTTCTTCCACAAATGAAAGGCAATGAGTGTGATGGAGTGGACAGAGCTGTGTGTAGAGTCAGAAGACCTGAGTTTGAATAGCAGCTCTGCAACTTAATACCTGTGGGACCGTTAAGAGTGAAAGATGTGTAAGGTGTCAGAAGACTAAAAGGGTGAGGGGATTAGGTTATATAAAGGGTTTTGAGGGCTCTGAACTGGAATGAGGAGAGACTTGTGGGAAGGAGATCAACCAGCAGGCATGAAGAGAAGAGGCAGTCCACCAACATAGTGGCAAAAAAAAAAAAGAGAGAGAGAAGGGGACATATTCAAGAGATGTTACAAAGCTAAAGTGGATGGGCCTTGGCAACATAATGGACATGAGAGGTAAGAGAGAGTGACAAGTCAAGGACGATATCCAAGTTGTGACCTTGGGCAACTGGGAGGATGGTGGTACCCTCAATAGTAATAGGGAAATTTGGAAGGGAGAGGATTTGGGGGAAAGGTTATGATTTCAGTTTAGGACATGTTAAGTTTAAGATGAGTAAGGGAATGGCAAACCATTCTAACATAAGGCAACAGAGCTCAGGCCTCATCATTGACAGTGCCCAAGACAAGGCGGCAACAGAACTCCTGCCTGGGGAGAAGAGGAGAAACCTGTGGTACAGAAGCTGCCACAGCACTCACTCACTAAACACACGGCCACTGTTTACCCAGCACAGGCTGCCGAGGCCAGGGCCCAGCAGTCACAGCACAACACAACAGCACTTGGACCAGGGGTGGTATCTGGTACTGGATGGCAGAGTCAGGCCCTAGCAGAAGGTGCAGTGTTCAGGAAGAGAATCAACTGGATCACATTCGAGAAATTATAGCCCTTTCAATGATTCCAACCTGTTCCCTGCTACAAAAGCCCAATTTCTTTATACTCATACTCTCCTTATAGATGTTATATAAGATAGATCATGGAATGCCCATGATGAATGAATTAAAAATCGTTTAGTAAGCACTTACTACACACAAAGCACTGTGCTAAGAGATGCTGTCCCCGGGGTTCTTGAGTACAAGGTCTTGGGCTACATCTACTGGGGTTTGAAAGGAGGTGCTAGCAGAAGTCTGGACCATTTGGTCCATAACACTTTCTGTATATCAATAGCAAATCTGTTAAACTACTTACAGTTGAACCAAAGAGAAACAGAATGATGCATAGTGGTTATAAATACACTTAACACACTACCAGTGATGACTTGCAAGGAACAACATAAAAGAAACTCTTAAGCTCATGCATGACTGAAAAAGGAAGTGGAATAGTCACGTGATAAGAATGGGATATAATAGATGGACTGTCCAAGTGCTACACTGGTATGCATGGAATTTTAAGAGATTCATAGGAAGCACTCCAGAGTGTTGAGTAGATCCTCTATGGAGGATTTGGGGAAAGACATGGACAAGCACCACACAAGATAAAAGAGTGTGGATGGATCACAAGTTATGACTGGAGGGGGTACAAACATCAATAAAGTCACAGATCTGCCAAACTACCTTATATCTTAATTTGCTTCTACTTTGCATTTGTAGTATTTTCGTTTTCACTCCATAACAAAGCACTATTTAAGTAAGCATATCAGACTATAAAATTCTTACAGAATTATTGTTCCTGAGATGGGAAAGAGATTCTAATTATAAATAACTATAGATTGAAGAAAGCTATCAAGACATCAAGTATTTATTAAACACGTACTACAGTATGCTTACCACTGTCTTGGGTACTATGTATATAAAAGGATAAGACACAGAGATTATCATCAGAAATATAAAAATCTAGTACAGTATTAAATCTAGTATAAAAAAAGGTTCTATGTATCTAATAAATCTCTTGAAAAACTGATTTTCCAATGGAGCTGTTTTCTCACCAACATCAGTACTCTATCCTAATGGTTTCACAGATTTCTTTCCAAAAACAAGCTCCTTTTATGGGTGCAACTCTTTAAGCAAAAGTTTAACTCCAACTGAAAATTTAACCTAACAGATCAGTTTTATTTTCCACAAAAGAAACATTGCAGAGGCCTAATTCTGTCCAAATAACAAATCGTGCAATCGATTTAGCTTCCTAAGCTTTGAATTCTCTCCCATAATATACAACCTATCCATTCCCGCCCATCTTCTAAGACTCTCAGACACATCATTCCATAAATTCGCCACAGAGGGTCCACTGAATATGCTGAAGGCCTTCTTCCATTTCACGTGTCACGGATATCAAAGGAATACATAAACTGTCCATCAGTTAGTTGTCACTCACTCTCACTATGTGACTGGCTCAATAATTTTTTCAGTCATGCATTCTTCTGCAATATTCTTTATACAACTCTTCCCACAAAAGATTTCATTTGTAATGTGGGACAGTCGCCTCCTGCCCTTTGCGGGCCTCCCCATTTTCACTGGGGTAGTTTCTGACATCAGTTCTTCAAAGATTATTCTATTCCTTAAAGCTATACATCATCACTAGAAAACTCTAAAATAATTTTAAAGGAATGCATTTCTAATAAAGGCTGCAAAAGTCTAACAAGCATTACTGAGTAGTGAAGAAACAAAATGTGTTGGTAACTCATTTCCTATATGTGATTGCACATACAAATACCAAACAAAGTAGAAAGGATTTTAGAAGCATGTCAAGTGGAAATGCCTAGTCTGGTCTCTAAGTTATTCAAAGATTAAATGATAAGAGTATCACTTTCAAGATATTTATCACCTATATCTAACTCTAAAGGAATGTGGCCACAGGTATATATCTCCTTACTTTAAGGGAAATGACAAAGATTCACCAAGTAGTGAATAAATACACAGAATCACTAGACCAAAATAAAGCTTTCTAATTCTAACTGAAAAGCAAGTAAAGTGATACCAAAGCAGATGGCAATTTAAAAGTAAAGATTATCAAAATCTCACTTGAGAACCAATCAAAAGCAATCATGAGAGATCAGGAATAAAAACTGATTCTTTTGAAAACTGGGTCTCCCTATTTCACCGAAATTGGAAGTATAAGGGCTGCTCATGGGCATGATGCCAATATGGACTGGCACAGAAGCTTTTTTAACCTGTTTTTTCAACATGAGCTACTTCACCCCTCCTTAAGCAGACCAATGGCTCTCTGCTCCCAGACTTAATTCAGATACCCAATCAGCTTTATCTTTACAACAGCCCAGAACTCTCAAACTCAATCAATTGACCAACCTCAAACTCCCCAGCAGCAGGGAATAAGTACCCTACTATAGTAGGTGTACACCACCAAATCTGGTCATAATTATTTAAAAACAATTGCCTCCACGAATTTTTTTTCCCCAACTCCTAGCACTTTATAATGTGTGCAATTCTGTGGGCAAAAGGTTAACCATTTAACAGAAAATTTATCCTAACAGAATAGCTTTATTGGTCTCAAGATAATATAAACATCATAGATGCCTAGTTCTACCCAAAAAAATAGATTCTGGAGTCAACTGAACTTCTGAAATTTGAATTTCAAAGTTGACCTAAAAAGAAGTGATATTTCAGACATGTCTCCAATACATCAAGTTAATATCAATATCACCTAGCCACCAGAAACACAACAAACATAAAGAAAAAAAATTTTCAAAAAGGTGTTTTATTTTGAATCAATGATAAATCAAAATGTCCAAACCATGAGATCAAAGTAACATTAGTCATAATTAAAATTTAGGTAGGAAAAAAAAAACAATAGAACCTCAATTATTTTTAAAAATTTGATACATTTAGCATTCTTATCAGTTCCTGAATCAGAGTAGGCAATCTCTCTGTGAATACTTTTGTGGCGTCCAGACCACTGACAAAGGAACTTCATGTAAAAAACTTCCAATGTGGAAATTGTCTCCACAGATGCAGATCAGCAACTAGTCTATAACTTTAAGTCTTACAAAGTTGTCTGGGGCACTTAAAAGTTAAGTGCCTTGTTCATGGTCATACACCTAGAGTGTGTCCAAAAAAGGGCATGAACTCAATTTTTCCTCATTCTATACATTATGCCAAACTCTGTGTGTGCATCTATATATACACATGTACATACGTGCACATTCACATAACGGATGCATATAACCACAAACAAAATTATATATGTACATATATATTTATTTACCACATTGCTTTTCTCTAAACACATTAGCCAGACACCTGTTACTCAAGGATTACACATTGTCCATTACTTGTGAAATTCTGAAATTCAAGATGACTGTTCTCAAATTATCAGCACTTCAAAAAGCTACTTCCACAGTGGTGAGACTCACTGCATCAATTCCAAAGGCAGTGACAACTCAAAGGAAGCTCTTAGTGCCCTCAGCAATTAGTCATAATGGAAAAAAAAAGTGGTTTCATCAAGGTAGAAAAGATCAAAGCAACTCAGAGAGCCCGAGCTCCAAAATATTTGTTTCACTTCAGAGACAAGCTCAGAAAGGCAGAGGCAGAGCTAACTTCAGAGTGCAGAATGAGTGCTAGGAGACCCCAAATAGAACAGAGACTTCCCCAGGAGACGTAGGAAGGATGCCATTTGGTAAAGTTTTGATCTGCTTCCCAAACTGAAATCAATAGCACTTGAAAAAG